AACTTCACTTGCAGCCAGCTGCATTGAAAAAAAGTAAAAAGATCCATTTCAAAACCAGCAAGCAGCTGTTCTTTTTAAAAAAGACAGCAATATTACAAAAGACCCAACCTTAAGAAAAAAAGTGTTTGAATCCCTGACATATCCCCTTAACCTTCCCTTTGTAACTAATGTAACTAGGAGCTTCCACATACCTCTTCCCTTCCCATGGCCAGTGTCTACTGACACAATAATCCTTGTTTAAAGAATTATTCTTCAAATACTTGCTAAGAACAGAAAGAAAAAAAAAGGAAGTCCAGCAAAGCCAGGATGTATTCTGATGATGAGAAGTAGCACTAGCTTAGGTCTCTGATGCTGATAGTGAAAGAAAGTACAGTACTTAAAAGGTGCTGAGAGCATAGAAAGGAGGTACAGTCCTCTCTCCTGACTCAGTGATAGGCACACTGATGGAATTCTGATAAACATTACCATGGAGCCTAGTGAGGTAAGTAAAGAACCAAGGCAAACAATCCTTTCTTCAGACTCCACAATCCCCCTGCCAAAAAAAAAAAAAAAAACCCAAAAAAAAAAAAAAAAACCAACAAAAAAAAAAAACTCAAAAATGTCCAAGTAAAGTATCATTCTTGTGAAGAAACTTGCACCATTACCGTTCAACCTCTTCTGTTAAGTACTTAAGAGCTTCTCAGGACACTAGAGAAAAAAAAAATACTACTACTATACTGACCTGTTAAAGAAATTACCTTCTGCAAAGAAATCTGCCTGTACTGGTAACTTTAAAGAGCATCTTTGCACGGAGCTCTTCATACTGTAAAAAGCCTAGCAAGCATAGCTCTGGGACAACATGTACTAATCCTATGTCAAAGCCTCAGGAGGTTCAACCTCCTGCTCAAAACAGGGTCAGCTCTGAGCTCAGACAAGGTTTCTCAAGGCTTTATCCAGTTGGGTTTTGAGAGCTTCCAAGATGGAGACAGCACAGCCTCTCTTGGCAACACATTCCATTTCCCTGACTGTCCTTGTGGGGACAATTTTTCCTATATACAAGTCTGAACCTTTCTGGATTCAATTTAGGGCACTGTCTCCTGTCTTCCTACTGTACATGACTGCTGAGCCGAGTCCCATCTCATTGACTTTCCTCAGATTCCTTTAGGAAGGCTGCTGTTACGTCACCCCAAAAGCCTCCTCTTCTCTAGACTGAACAAACCCAGTTCCCTGAGCCTCCCAGCATTAAGTTTAAAAAAAGGTCATTCTCAGTAAGGATAATGCAATCTCAAGCATTTATTACAGAAGTGATGACTCCTCAGACAAGAGTCCAAATATAATTTAGCAAGCGAACATGATTTCTTCAGCACTGATCTCTCTGAATTCTGGGGGAAATTCGTACAATCAGAACCTTTTGGAATTAAACCCAATTCATACACCAGGAAAAAACAATGTTTTCTGTGCTTACTAAGACTGCTTTTATCAAGTATTATGTGAAATGCTCTTGTAAGCAAACTGAATTAGCAATAGCTATGTACCTACTGAGAAGTCATATGTTTCACTTCATTAATGCATCAGATATACTCCAAAATAAAACTTGGAGGAAACTGCAGACCTCAAGGGAAGAAAGTAAATGAGTAACTCTGTTGAAGGGTATTATGACATTAGTTTGTAAAAACAGTAATAAACTATGGGCCGATATGCACAAAAGACAAACACATAAAACTTTTTGATAATTTTAAATATACTTTCAACTATTTTGTTCACATTAACTCTTTTGAATCATTTGATATACACACTAAAGGGCAATATTAGGTCTTTCCATAAGCATAACACTGGATTTTCATCTGCAATAGCATATTGTAATAGTTCCTAAATTGCCCTTCTACAGCAGATGTTTTACTTCATGAGGTAATATTATCTCTGCTTTAATTTTTAAAATCATAAAGTAATTAAATTCTTTCCAACGTAAATGGGACAACCCATTCACTTCACCCTGTGTAAGAACTGGAGATAGAAAACCTGCAACTATGTGAGTGACTATAAATAAGAAATTAGGGTTACATACTACTTTGATTTATGCCCAAGTATCACTGAAATTCAGACATTCAAGTTGGAGGCTGTTCATTTAATCTCTGCATTGCAGCCATCATGGCAGTTGGATAGGCACAATTTACTATCAAAAGCCACAAACAGTACTGAGCAGCTTGAGCTCATGGAAGTCTCTGATGAGCTGATCTAGGACTGTGAAGTACATTGTATGTCACTGTAGTGACGTGAAGATATCAGTCCTCACATGTGCAAATTTTCCAAACAGAACTTACCACTTAGCTCCATCATTCTAACAGTGAACCTTTAACTTTTTTAGTCTAACAGTAAAGGTCCTGCTTCCAAACCTACTGATAATCTGCCATTCGCTGTACATTCAGCTGAGATTATTCATTTAAGAAAACAGCGTAACATAAGGAAGCAATGAAAGTAATATCTGTTTTGATTCGTTTGCATAGCCACACCAAATAAATTGTTTTTAAACGGCTGAACAAATTCAGAGTAACTGAGTGCTTACATGAATAATGAGCTGATTTACCTCCTTTCCTAACGTTGCTCTCCCAGGGATACATTAATCACTAGTGAATCCCATTTGGATTATTTTCATCTATCAACCTGAAACAAGGATACAGCCTACAGGCTGTGTTAAAGCTACCTAATGATCTTGCAGTCTTCCTTTTTACCTATGACTTTGCAGCAGATTTTAATACTCAATTTCCATGGGAAAAAAATCAGAATATCCAGTGCATCACACAGTGCTAGGAGTGCTAGGCCTGTCAGTAACAATCAGTGCAATAGATGAACAAGGCAGGACTGAAGAAACCAGAGGCATAATTCATTTCTTATACGTAACATTCATTTAAACAGGCAAGAAAGAGAAGATTGAGGTTGGGCTGGAAATGCTTCAAGAAGAAAGGGAGGGTTGTGACTAAAAGCAGGAAATGAAGGGGGAAATGAAGTGATAACAAGCAGTAATAGTTCTGTTGCTTACTGATACCTTTAGAAATATATTAGGTTTTGCATGAGTATAGTGTTAATTAAATGTCAATTTTCTGCACCTTTGATTCATGCTCTACAAATACACAGTGACAGCCATAACCCTGAAGAGCTTGCAGGCTGAACAAATGGTGCAAAAAAAGGGTAAAAGGCTCAGGAAGAACCAAGATGCCCAAGGTTAGACCACTTGCAAGTGACAAGAATGTACTTTTACTGCTGCAGCTATTGCTTCATCCTGTCTTCTCTACTGTAAAAGTATAAAGCAGTTAGGTTTTGTGAAAGTGAGAAGAACCCAATGAGAATCATAAAATCAACTCAGTTGGAAAAGACCTTTAAGATCATCAAATCCAATCATTACTCCAGGACTGCCAAGTCCACCACTAAACCATGTCACTAGGGGCTACACGTTTTTTGAATGCTTCCAGGGACGGTGATTCCACCACTGCCTGGGCAGCCTGTCCAATGCCTGACTACCCTTTTGGTGAAGAATTTTTTTCTACTATCCAGTATAAACCTCTCCTGGCACAGCTTGAGGCCGTTACCTTGTCCTATCACTTGTTACCTGGGAGAAGAGATGTCAGCCCTGCTTTGAGCAAACAGGCAGGTAGGTCTATGGCTTGCCTGCTACTTGTTTTCCTGCATGGACATGCCAGAGCATTACTGACAGGTGTTTGGTAACACCCTGGAGACCAGGGTCATGTCCATTTGCCCAGACAGACAACAGTACACCAAAAATGGTATAAGACATGTCAGTATGTCTCACTCCTTGGTTCACTTGAATTTTGTCCCTGAGCATTCTGGCTGGGGTAGCTGCTAGGTATTTCCCCTGAGCAGTTTCAGATTCATTTTGTGCTATGTCTGGTCTGAGACTCCTCAGTTGAAGAAAATGCAAATGGAACTAATGAAAGCTCCTCCAGAACACTCCCCCCTTCTAGCTCTGCCATCATCAGTAGCACCTGCACCACTAATAGACCCACCCAGGTGATAATAAGGTCGATAAGACCTAGGATGGAATAAGAGTAATGCTTGTTATCAGTTTTGGGAAGAAGCTAGTCACATGCCTGTTGTGCCCGTATTCCACCTGTTATAGTTACCCAAGGGAAGCAAACAACTCAGTCTTGTTTTATCTCAGCTGCTAACTTTAGCATCAGGCTGCAGCTGTGAAGTTCAGTGAGCCCAGCACAGACTTTCTTCAAAACCCATGAATTATTCTTAGTGCAGCTGTTCTACAGGGTACAAGATTGCTGTGATGTTCCTTCAATCTAATTGAAAACCACCTGTGCTATCTCCATGCTCTCTGTCTTGACAAGGAAGACTTCTTTTTAATCCCCAGATCAGCCTCAGTGAGCAGAATATAAACATGACATTTATGAAAGGCTAGTTCCCACAGATGCTCATCTCTTATGTTAGTGTTCACCACAAACAACTTGTCTTTCACTATTTAATTTCTCAAATTACTCAAAACCTCTAAATACATGTCACTGGATTTTACCGAGTCTATTTTAGTACAATGGCAGACATTAGGCCTACGATAAACTCACGTGCATAAAAACCCATAATACCTGCCAGAAGACCATATACTTTGCAACTTTTTTCTTTTTAACATTAAGAGTCCCATGTTACAAATAAACAGTAAGAAATATCCTCCCCCCCCCCCCCTTCACGAGGAAATTATACACCTTCCCTTCCCCCCCTGCTCCCTTCCGACTATTTCTTTTTCACACATGCTATCTACAATGAAAGAACATAGAAAGACGTAAAAGAATCACACACACCCTGCCTCTGAATCTCAAGCAATAAATCCCTCGGGCGTAGAAATCTCCTTCGCAAAGCGTAAACAGCAAACTAGAGCATTAAAATCTGTAAATACAAACAGTAAACTACAGCTTTCCTTGTGTGCGAAGGAGAGGCCCCTCTGCTACTCCGCACCCCTCGAAGGATGGACGAGAAAATTTTGGCAGGAAACCCGCTTCGCTTACCTTGATCATGCTGACAAACGGGCGGTACCTCCCTGGCGCGGCTAAGCGGACTCTCAGCTGACCGCCGCTCGTTTTGTGCAGCGCTCCTGATGAAGCCCCGGTGATCGCTAAGCCTCCGATGCGGCGACGGCTGCGGCACGCTGCGCGGGCTCAGGACCGGCCGATCTGCCCGCAGGCTCCGCCGAGAATGCTGCTGCCTCTGCCGCCGTGGCCACTGCCGCCGATTGCGGGCTCCGATTGCATCAGCGGGCGAGGGCGGTGCGCACGGCGGACGCCAACGGGGAAAGCGGCGAGGGGCTGCGGGTGCCCCGCCTCGCCTCGCCTCGCCCCTCCCGGCAGGCAGGCACACCTCCGGCCACCGCCCCCCGCCTCCCGCCTCGCCCTCGGGAAGCACCGGCAGCGCCCCAGCCGGGGACGAGGCTGGAGGGAGCTAAACCTTCACCTGCACCGATCCGCAGGGGCAGGTCGTCTAGAGGGGTCAGTCCTGGTCCGTGGCTCGTCCCTCAGATGGCCCAACACCATGCGCTGTGTCTATCAGGCAGAGACAGTTAAATGCTTGTGCTGTAATTTATACCGAAGACAACACGTTCTTCTTAGCCCCCTGTTTTAGCAAGCATTAAGAAACTCATCATTTTCAGTCCCTGAGTCACTTCCTTCTTCTTGCATCCAAGTTGTCTGACACATCAAACACCTCACAGTTTATCCCTCCCATCACTAGCAAGCTCTCCAGCTGCAAGACAGGCTTTCCCCAGGCCTTCTGCCTTCCACCACTACGTGCACAACTTGTGCCAAGTCCTTCAGCACTGGCAACGAACACAGGAGAGGCCCACACAACCGTTCTATTTGGAGCTGGCTGGGATTGCCAGATGTTTCACAACGGCCCTCTGGGTCCTCCCCCTGCTAACCAGTGCCTAGTCCATGCTGAAGCCCATGTAGCTACACCTCTGCAGCTATTCAGACCTCAGGTAGCTGTCTTGGAGCCAGCTGTATCTCTGATTTCAGTGAACAGGTACCTGGTAAGCAGGTGACCCACACCTGAAGAGGAGAGCATAAACATCAGAGACCAGTCTACTCTGCTACTTCTACCATCACTGCTGCCAGTGAAACTGCGCAGTACTGGTACAACCTATGAATTTTTACAAGATGCTCCCAGTATAACCACTGTATGATGCTCACAGTGTACTTACTTTCATCTTTATTGCATTTATAGTTGTTTTCTTCTTTTACTACTGATTTTGTAAATGTTTTCCCCTTCTGATCTGCTTGAGAGTAGTTGTAGGAAGCTGTTTCATCTCAACGCTACTGTCATAAGTGCCAGGTTCTGCTTTGCATGATGTACGTGAATTATTCTCTCTCGTACAGTGCCAGAGACTGGTTACATAAACAGATATTTGTTCCTGACACCCTTCAGTCATGTAAAAAAACCCACTATTTAATGGAATTTTACAAAAATTTGGACTCCAAAGAAATTACGTTACCCAAACTGAAAGTCCATGTGAACAGTGATGTTGTAGTGGCTATTTAGGAGAGAAGAAAGATGGAGCAAAAACCAGGAGGCAGAAAGGCAGCAAAGAAGCATCAGAGAGAGGCATAATTCATCATCAGTGAACTACTACTCAGTGCTCATGAGAGCAATCCGATCAATTCCTGATGAATTAGGATAACTATTATTATTTAGATTACAAACACAACATAGGACCAACCATACCAGATAATTCAGGATCCTGCCTCTGACAGTTGACAATAATGATGCCTACAGATTTACAAGAACAGGATAAGCACATAGGAGCACACCTGATGTGCTCTTCTAGCTTCAAGGGATTTGTACCACAGCAGTTTCCTAAAAGATGAATTATTTAGGCTTAACAGTTCATGGAATTTTTGTTCCTTTAATTTATTGTTCCTTGAACACATGCAAAATTTGGCATCCCTAAGATCTTGTGCTGATGAGTTCCACAATTTAGCTTTGTTCTATGGAAAAATAGATAATTATGGTTTACTTTGAACCCGCCACTTAAAAAGTTCACTTCATGCTCCCTTCTGATACTGTGAAACTGTAAACACAAATGAAGGTCAAAATATTCACCCCATCTATGTCATTTGTGATTTTAAAGACTGCTGAACTGTCAGCCATTCCCTTTTTCCAGATGAAGAGTCCTAATCTTTTTACTCCTAATATAAGAACAGTTCTACACCCTTGATCATCTTGGATTTAGGACGGGGACATGAACTACTCAAGACTCCCAAAATGCAGGTTTCCATATTTACTTTTAATTTGCTTTTTTGTCCTGTTTCTTTTCCTAAGAATGCCTCCTGTTCTGTTTCGTAGTTTGACTGTTTCTGAGTACTAAACTGAACTGATGTTTTTACAAACTATCTAATTCTGAAATTTCCCTCCTGCAAGGCAACAGGTCATTCATGATCCATCACTATACATAGCTTTAGCTTTCTCCCCCTCCGCCCCCCGGCATCACTTCATACTTGCAGACATTATTATATGTTATTTTGGCAATTGTGTACTCAATTTCATAAGTTCCTTCTGCAGCTTTTTGCAGGTAGCTCTAGTTTGGCTGAATTGTTTAACATTATTACCCTGAAGGTTTTAATCTCATCAGCAAACTTTGTCTTTTCTCTATTTGCCTCCATTTCCCTACCATTTTCTCAGCTGCACAGCCTCTCTCTCTTCTATTTCTTTTCTTTTAACCAATTGAGAGCAACATCAAAGCATCTTCACATGGGAGCTAATTTTTTTACAAGCCTTTGGTAAGGGACCATGTCAGGTCCTTTGGAAATCCAAGTGGATCATACCAATTGGTTCTCTACCATCTGCATGTTCACTGAATCCTTCAAAGAAGTTTCTAGATAGGCAGGTTGGCATTTCCTTTCAGACAAGTTATGTTGAGTCTCCCTTTAATGTGTGATTTATTCATGTATCTTTTGCTTTCCTTAGTATAGGTTCTACAGTTTCTTCAGACTTGCTCCAGTATCCTGAATCCCTCTAGAACAAAAGCTGTTTGAATGCTGTTTCACTGTTCCCAGACCTCAGCTTGCCAGTCTGCACAGCATTGTGCTTGAGCCTTTTTTCTTTCTAAGTTGTCTGTTTCATGCTCCACCATAGAGATGCATTTCAAGTTATCCTCAAACTAGTACCAACTACTGAGGTAGAGGGCAGAATCCATAGCCTGGACACAACTAAGAAATAGGAGAAGGAATGGGAAAGGAGGAATATTATCAGAACTACAGAGGATTTGTGCAAAGCCAAAACACCAAGTTGTCTAGGATATCTATTAAAACAAGATATTTTTATTGATAGTCAAGCTGACCCTGAACTTGCAAATAAAAGTTGGAAAAAGGAGACCAAAATTCAGAGAAGCTACAGAACTTACCTCAAAACTTGCATCTTGCTGTAACACCCCAAAACCTGAAGCTACCATTAGTAAATGTGCCATATAGACTTATTTTTGCAGCATTGGCTTGCACTGCTTCAATGTAATTACACTTTCTTATGTAACGCTCCAGAATTTACAATGCAAGGGACGTTGACTTTCCTTTTATCTCTACCTCAATCAGTTGTATTGATCCATCAGTCAGACCATACATTTTCTACATTCTGAATATTTCATTTTCATAAAACAGGTAATTGCTCATTTCTATGCTAGATTTTCAATTGACACAAAGTATTCAGTGAATCCCAGACAGCACTGGTAAACTTTAGAAGTTTTAATGAGTAAGTTTTTCACAGCTATGATAGAATTAAGTAATTTATATGCTTAGATTCCAAAGTGTTTCAGTTTCCACAAGTTCTAAAGATTCACAAGGTGAATAGGAGTTGTGATACCTGGGGCTGTAGGAGCAGATTATGTTTGTAAAGTTACCACAAACCCAGCGATTAGTATGTTTCATGCTTTTTGTTGGTCTTCACAGAAACACAGCATTCCTTCTGCTTGCTCTGGGCTCTTGAGAGGGATTTTTGCAGAAGACCAAAGGGGTTTCAGTTGTGCATATTATCCATACCAGAACTGAACAGACTTATACTTTAGCCACAGAAATATGAGGAACTACAGTTGGGAAAATGAAAAGGCTCTATGATATAAAGCCAAATGGGGCATTTTGAAAGAGGAAGCTTGTATAATTCCATAATTCTACAAGGAATAAGGGCAGAAACCCATAGCTTGGTACACTTTCAAAGGCTCCCTTTTCTAATCCCATCTGCACAAAGTGGATAGGGTGAACACAGGCAGAAACCAGGTTTTCCATTTAAGAGAAAGGTGGGATTCTGTGATTTTTTTATTCATCAAGTTTGCCAAAGACACCAAGCTGTCTGGTGCAGTCAACATGCTGGAGGAAAGGATGCCATCCAGAGGGACCTTGACACGCTTATGAGGTGGGCCAATGCCAACCTCATGAAGTTTAACCATGACAAGTGCAAGGTCCTACACCTGGGTCGGGGCAATCCCAGACACAGCTACAGGTTGGGCAGAGAAGAGATTCAGAGCAGCCTTGTGGAGAAGGACCTGGGGGTTTTGGTCAATGAGAAATGGAACATGAGCCAGCTTCAGAGTGTGCTTGCAGCCCAGAAACCAACCATATCCTGGACTGCATCAAAAGGAGCATGACCAACAGGTTGAAGGAGGTGATCCTGCCTCGCTACTCTGCACTCCTGAGACCCCACTTGGAGTACTGTGTACAGTTATGGTGTCCCCACCAAAAGAAGGACATGGAGCTGTTGGAGCAAGTCCAGAGGAGGGCCACAAGGATGCTCAGAGGGCTGGAGCACCTCTCCTATAAAAACAGGCTGAGACAGTTGTGGTGGTTCAGCCTGGAGAAGACTCCATGGAGACCTCACAGCAGCCTTCCAGTACCTAAAAGGGCCAACAAGAAATGTGGAGAGGGACTTTTTACAAGAACATGTAGTGACAGGATAAGGGGAAACGGCTTTAAGCAGAAAGAGGGTAGATTTAGATTAGACCTTAGGAAGAAGTTCTTCACTATGAGGGTGGTGAGACACTGGAACAGGTTGCCCGGAGAAGCTGTGAATGCTCTGTCCCTGGCAGTGTTCAAAGCCAGGCTGGATGAGGCTTTGAGCAACCTGGTCTAGTGGAAGGTGTCCCTGCCCACGGCAGAGGGGTTGGAACTGGATGT